TATTCCAAGGGATAGCCCACAGTAGAGAAGACATTTTTCAGCATCAGAAGAAGTAAGGTGTGGTTTCAGGTAGCTGACCTCAATTCTTCTTTGCAGTTGACTCCCGGACATCACAAAACAAGATATAAGGACTATTTATCTATTCTTAGCCACAAGTGCTTTTGTACACCACTAGATTAGAGGCGATTCTGCTCTTTTTCTCTCGACAGGTTACTCTTTTGACTTAATCATGAGTACGAAGAAGAAAATGGATCCATGGAGAACGAGACTTATCATTTTCCTTTACCTCTATAACATTCCCACTGCTTTTTTAAATACTTTTGATCCCACCACTAAACACAAACCTTTGTCATCAGCTGATTGTTGCTTCCTATACTTTGGCCAACAATGTAAGCACACCTGTAGATATACATACTTGATGCAAATATATTTTTCCCCTCAAAATATTGCTGCTTCAGGTGAGGCTTGAACTCACAACCTCGGCATTGCTTTGCAGGCTACTGTCATATAAGTACCACGATCTGACCGATTGCGCCACTGGAGCAGGTTGCCTCTGATTCCTTATGAACAGATAAGATAGTCCACGCCAGTATGACCAACTGATTGTATCTGGGCTTGAATTGCCCACTATTGCTCTTTTGGACTTACATTGGCCATGTCTCCAAGCTACATTGGCTTCGCAGTAGAAATTATCTAGAGAGCTCCTAGAACCTTCGCTGGGTTTCCTATTCTTGGAAGGTCGAACCAGGAACTTTAAGCGTAGCTTCATGTGGATTTCTGAATTCCTCCTTTTCCATCAACTTTGCTTAGACCAGTTTTGGACAACAGACACTTGCAGCGATTGATTCCCTAGGTAAGATATAGTTCCCAAGATTCTTGGGCTACTCAATATTCCAAGGGATAGCCCACAGTAGAGAAGACATTTTTCAGCATCAGAAGAAGTAAGGTGTGGTTTCAGGTAGCTGACCTCAATTCTTCTTTGCAGTTGACTCCCGGACATCACAAAACAAGATATAAGGACTATTTATCTATTCTTAGCCACAAGGGCTTTTGTACACCACTAGATGAGCGGTGATTCTGCTCTTTTTCTCTCGACAGGTTACTCTTTTGACTTAATCATGACTACGAAGAAGAAAATGGATCCATGGAGAACGAGACTTATCATTTTCCTTTACCTCTATAACATTCCCACTGCTTTTTTAAATACTTTTGATCCCACCACTAAACACAAACCTTTGTCATCAGCTGATTGTTGCTTCCTATACTTTGGCCAACAATGTAAGCACACCTGTAGATATACCTACTTGATGCAAATATATTTTTCCCCTCTCAAAATATTGCTGCTTCAGGTGAGGCTTGAACTCACAACCTCGGCATTGCTGTGCAGGCTACTGTCATATAAGTACCGCGCGCTGACCGATTGCGCCACTGGGGCAGGTTGCCTCTGGTTACTTATGAACAGATAAGATAGTCCACGCCAGTATGACCAACTGATTGTATCTGGGCTTGAATTGCCAACTATTGCTCTTTTGGACTTACATTGGCCATGTCTCCAAGCTACATTGGCTTCGCAGTAGAAATTATCTAGAGAGCTCCTAGAACCTTCGCTGGGTTTCCTATTCTTGGAAGGTCGAACCAGGAACTTTAAGCGTAGCTTCATGTAGATTTCTGAATTCCTCCTTTTCCATCAACTTTGCTTAGACCAGTTTTGGATAACAGACACTTGCAGCGATTGATTTCCTATGTAACATATAGATCCCAAGAATCTATTCTTAGCCACAAGTGCTTTTGTACACCACTAGATGAGAGGCGATTCTGTTCTTTTTCTCTCGACAGGTTACTCTACTGACTCAATCATGAGTACGAAGAGGAAAGTGGATCCATGGAGAACAAGACTTATCATTTTACTTTACATCTATAACAGTGATGCAAAAATATTAGGTGACAATTAAATTACAGCAGGATTACTCAAGTCTAGTCCTTATGAGGTACTATCCCGCACTTTTACGTATATTTTAGATTCAAGTGTGTTAGAGAAGAGATGCATCTAAAAGTTACAGGATAATAGCTCTTGAGGACTGTACTTGAGCACACCTGAGTTACAGATTAGCTTTATCCTTCATTTTGCTTCATACCTATAGATGACGATAGAATTAATCTGAAAGGATCATTAGACTTCAGCCATCCATGTGGCTGGGAAATTCCAACTGTTTTCAGATATTGATTTATAAAATATACAAAGACATATCTAATATCCATTCCACCAAAGTACTTTATGTTGTGTCTGTCACATCAAATCCACCAATAATAAGTTTTCATTTGAGTATCCTAAAGTCAAATCATCCTGGCTTAAACAATTATATAAATGTACTCTATCAGACTATATTGTCCCAAAATCTAGACAATTTCTATTAAAAAAAAAAATCCTGGATTAAAATCTGGAGGGGATCTTGAGCTACAAAATCCAATGATATATCAACGGTCATCTGTCAATCAAATTTTTTTCGGTCATAGCATCTTAATTCATATGTCGCAACTAATATATGCAATGGTTGAAATAAGAAATAGTAATCATTATTTGCAGTCATGTATCATTGAGTCACATCCCAGTATTCATGGGGATGAATGGAGATCTGTGTCTTCGGCCGGCGTAGAGCTAACAGAATTGCCAGCGTTGCAAGGCAGGGGCTCAAACATGCAAGGCTGTAAGCCTTCTACACCAAACGAAGCACCTGCCACCCTGGCTTCCTGTTCCACAACATCTTCGTCCCCACTTTCCTCCACTAAATAAAAAATATATGATGGAGGAGACTCATCCACAACATCCGACACAAAACTCTCCTCCTCTTGCATTTTTCCGCTGTCCATAGTGTTCCTTGACAGTTTCGAAGTTACCAATTTAGTGCTACTTGATCCCAATGTAATTTGCCATTGGGAACCTACTAGGACTAAGTTGCTTAAGAAGAAACCAGAAGCTAACCAGAAGAAACCGGTCACAATCAAACTTGCTTGCAAACCTTCTGCCACAACATTCCCGCCCTCTTGATAAACGACAAACCACATTCACTTTATTCACTCGTGTAAAGTTGTGCACCAGTCGGGAGAATTCGGAAATGCAACGGTTGGAAAAGCCATTTCCCTATGACTTTAAATATAACTAGTAAGATATTGAATTTACATTTAGAGAAACTCTGTCTTTAACTCTTTTTCTATGGTAAATGTTATTTAAGTAACTTTTAACTTTGAAATTAATATTATTTTTTCTTAAGCTTTTTTTTTTAGTTGAATAATACAATTGCTGTGATGAAGTGCTGCTAATGTAACTTCCTGTTTCAACATTCCGTTTTGCTGGTTGTCTTGGGCCGCGTAAGGCTACATACTAAAGTGCTTCCAGCTGAAGGCTACGATAAGTAGCAGCCAGAAGTCTGTGCTCGCTGGACCCAGTCACACTGCCTTTTTCCTGGGATTCAGAAGGAACTGAATGCAGTGTTTTTATTCTTCCTGCGATTCAAACCGAGTTGAACGTAGTGTCCACTGAAGCATGCTGCAGCAAGGACAGAGAAGAGCTAATCCAGCTCTGCTAACCTAAACCTAGCCCCCGAACAATGGGGCCCCCATTCGCTGTTTGCCAAAGGAGCCCTTAGAAGCCGCCAGACCCCTGACTGCCTGAGACGGAGACAGACTCAGCAGTACCAAGGAACTGCTGCTGGAGGCTGCGGCTACAAGCTAACCATGGTAGCAAAGAAGTGAGACGTCTCACAAAGTCACCAGTTGTTTCATCAAATTGATTCAAAATCTCTGAGAGATTCTGTTGGACAAACGGACTGGACAGAAGTTGGGGCCTGCAGAAAACTGGACCAAGCCGAAGGCCTTCACTCCACTGAACCAAAACAGTGACATCATACTTTTCCCCCTCCTTTCCATCTGATGCTTAATAAGTGCTCTGCTTGGGTGAACTAGGTAGAATAGATAGTCTTGTTGGTGTTATATTTTAAATTAGCTTTCTGATTCAACTGCTGCTGGTTTCAAGAATGTTTAACTGAATGCAAATGCACACTACATAGACTGAACGAGTCATGTGTTCCTGAAGCTAACTGCTGCAGTGAACTGGCTAGCATTGTAGCTCCAGCTACCTCGTGCTGAACACGTTATAGAGCATCATGAGCAAACCCTTTCTTTCGGTTGGATCCGACCAGGCCAGAACCCCTGGGCCCCAGGGACCTCATTGCTGTTACATACCCTCTTGAGTCATTATTCATTCTTCACCATAAAACTGAATGAAACTGCACTGTTTTGATTGCAGTTAACATCGCTGCATTAGGGTTTATTCACATTTTATCTGCTGCTTTTATTTTAACAACACTTTCAATGCATTAAGCCTTAAACTTCGAACATTCCACAGACTTTGACTTTTAAACCCTTCTTCCACCTTTTATTTCTTTATTTTTGCTTATTTTCAGTAGTGTTTAGTGCCTGCTTAGTTATTAGAACTGTGTGACTGTTGCTAATAAACGTACCATTGTATTTTAACTCGCAGTCTTTTTTGCTTGTTTTACACAGGGAACGATTTATCACCCACTCTTTCAGTAGCATCCGAATGAACAGAGACACATTTAGTTGGTTGTTGATTAATGACATTGCTAAGAGCCATAACCTAAATTACTTAATTGGTAAAAGACAACTGATTTTTTAACAGCTGGATTCAGGAGTCCAACCTTTTAGGTAAGAGGCAAAAAAATCCTGGTCAGTAGGCAAATTACAGCTGTAATCTTTCAACTGATAATAATTAACTAGTTTTAGCCTTGATTTGAATGACCCATTAATTAACTATAATTTCCAGTTCTAGATATTTATTACAATTATAATCTTCTGGTAAACTCTCACAATACAATTTTACTTTTAGGTGGGGGCTGCACGGCAAACACTGATAACAAATTTTATGACACCATATACCAGCTAGATTTTAAATGTTAATTTTTTGTTGTTTTTTTGTTTCTTAGAATGAAAACTGGTGCATATCTCAGCACTGGATTTTTCACTATGATTCTGGCTATGGAAATGTGTGACAGCATAGATGTCTATGGAATGATTGAAGATAACTACTGCAGGTGAGTTTATGACCAGCGCTGAAGCTGTGTCGTTTTCGTGTACTGAATCTTCCAAAACTAGTTTCCCCTATTAGAGATGTGTAGGAAAGCCTTAAAAAAGGTGTCAGGTTGTGGAAATCCTTCAGCAGGTGTAAATTTTGATTATAAGATAAATAAATAAAAAAAATTATAATTTAACACAGTGAAAAATAGATAAAATTGAAGATATTTTAAATGCATCCATTTGTTTTAAATAGTGTATTGCCAAAATGCAACGAGAAAAATGCTTTTTTTAAGGCAGATAAATAGTATTTAGATGCATGTTTAGCTTAACTTGAGATTTTAGTTTTACATTTTTTAGCACATTAACTTGGTCATTATGAAGTTGATTAGATACACGTGTCTTCATATCAAGTTGATTAGATAAACTTGTCTTCATCCAGCCTTATTTATCTTAGTTTTGATTTTAAACATGTACACTATTGCTTTGATTGTGAATACTGACAATCAAAGCAATTTAACTTTGTGCTTTTTTTCCTCCTGACAGTCAGGCCAATCGCTCTGTAGTACCTTACCATTACTACGACCAGAAGAGGATCAGTGAGTGCAGGATGTATACATACCATGAACACAAACCCCTTGGAGGACACCGCTTCATAACTGAGAAGGCGATTTATGCAAAATGGGCAAGGCGTAACAAAATACAGTTTAAATATCCTGCATGGAGACTCCGCCGTGGTTTAGATACTCTTCACGAGGAATGGCAACCTGTATAAATGTCTTATTAACAGAAAAGATGCTGTGTTACAAAGGAAGGTAGATGTTACTGGTCTCAATAATTTTGTTATTGTTTTTATTTTTACCAAAGAAAAGGTTTTTCATTTCATGTGAAGAGAAGCATTTCTGAGGTCGCACACAGTGACTGTGACTGGTTATATTAGACATGTTTATCCATATGTTTGTATGGATATCAGTAAAGCATAAGAAAACAGTAAACACAAAACAAAGTTTATTTCACAGCTGGCTGTCTATAATTTCCTACTTCTCTTTTAGTGCCTTACTTTTAAGACATACTTTGCACTTTTTAATTATGAGCTGCTCTCCTCATGTTATTGTAAAGCTAAAATGTGGTACCGGGTATATAGCTTTACAATCAAACATATCCAGTATTAATAAACATTTTGTTTTAAGTTTGGTAAGATCAATAAGTAAAAAAATGTACAACGGCCCGGGACAACACAGTCTTTTTGCCCCCAAATGTGTTTTTCTCCCTTACACTAGCTAGCGGATGTTGTACTTTAAAATCATATTGATAAAAGTATTGCCTCTTACCTAGCTCTGAATGGCCATTGTTCTTCTGCAATTCTGTTCCTGGACCTGTTCCTGACTCATCCTTAGTTTATTTTTAATATTTACTCTAGCCTTTGGTGTCATCTTCCCTTTTTCTTTTCTCTTTTCTTTTTGTGCACTAGACTTTTGAAAACCTGACAAGTTTACAACAAAACAAACTTTAAAAGTTACAGCCTGCCGCTGTCCTGGTCAAACCATTTTATGTTGGGGTGAGAGTTTTAATGGCCCCTTATTAAAAAAATAAAAACGTATTACATATACCAATATATATTAATTACTCTAATATTAAAAAATTTTATCACAAATATCTTCTGAAAATGACTTCTGTCTGTATTTTTAATGGACAGCGTTTCAATTTTGGGCCACCCTCTGTCTTGGGCCTGGGACAGTTGGCCTGGATAAGCATGTTGTGACAGTTGACCCTGCTACCTTATCTTGTGTCAACCCCTCATACTACATATGCAACTCTTTTTAACAGCCTTGCAAAAAATAACCTCAAAGTCAAATATTTTTTTCAGTTGAGTTCTATATGGTATTATTCAAAAGTTTTAAAGTTTTCCTGTGGCTGTTCCTTATTTTACAAATAGAAATATTAAGAGAGCGGAACATAAATGCATTTAGCCTAGTGTACTCTAACCTTTGGAAATAAAACCCAATGCAAACAACAGCCTTTAAAAGTTACCAAAATAGGGATTTGCTGGTAAAATTTGTTAACCAGATAGCTTAAAAAAAAAACAACAACTGGCTTTTATAGAAACATGGCAAGAGAAAATCAGTAGGAAGTTCTGTTTCCATTTTCTAAAAAGTCATATGAGAGTTATGGATGAAGGTTCCCTGGTCAAGTGGAACCGAGTCAGAGCTTCTTGATCAAGATGTAAAATTAGTTATGTGAAGAAAAATAGTTTACATTGTCAAATGTGACAGTAGAATCATGCTATGGAGTGTGAGGATTATGTTTTTATTATTCATGTAGGGGTTTGTTAAACCCTAATGTTATCTGCCTGTTGAGTGTCAAGACTGATGTTTTCCTAAGCAGTTTATCTAATTATGATCGTTTTTATAAAAAAAAAAAGAACTTATGAAAAGTAATCATCTTTACTATGTAAGTAACAAAGATTTGGGAATGAAATGGAAGCATTGTCCTTGATCTAAAAACACTGTATATTATGTGGACATGTTTGGAGCCAGTGAAATCTACTCATTTACCAACCTGTGTTTTATGTAATGATGGGATGATGTGGCAGAGTGTGAGCATGTTATTTAACTGTTATTCTGGGCCAACTTTCAGAAGAAGGAAGCCCGGTGGTAAGCAATGCCATTTGTAACCTGAGCCATTTCTCTGGTTTGATTAACATTAAAACTTTATTAGAATCTGTGGTCATGTCTCAAAGTCATTTAATACAGGTACATCATAAAGTGTTATTTAAAGTGTTTGTTATGCATCATCTTTTCTCAGGCAAAAATCAGGAGAGAAAAATGGAATGCAGAGAAAATAATGTAGACAAAGAATGAAGCAGGGAATGCTCTTAGAAAGTTTTGGGTGGCTTTTAAAAACAGCCTTTTTAATTTAGCCCTATAGGACTGTTTGTCATCTCCATTACCTCCACAACCCAGTCTCATGGGAAAATGTACCCCCACTACGTTGGTCCACACTGCAAAACGTAGTGGAGGTACATTAATGGCCATTTTTTTGTGGTACTGTTACGTTTCTTCTACCTATACGCTTTCTATTGTTTTACGTCCTAGTCACGTGACTTTCAAGATTCCAGCTGGGAGAAGAAAAAAAATAAATATATGGCCGACATTCGCTCATTTTTTTTGTGGAAAGATTAATAACTTGAGTTTGTTTTTGCATTAAAATGAGTTTTGATTACATTTCTAGTGAGAAATGTATAGTTTGTTGCCAGAATATTTACTCAGGGAATGTACATATTCACTTGCTTGTTCGTTTCTTGCAAAGATTTTTCAAGATAATGTGAAACTGTAACATTTTGGTATAAGCATGGCTGAGATTAATCTAACTTTTAGTGGGAGAATCAATAATTTCAATCAGTTTCTGCATTTAAATGGGTTTTGATCACATTTATAGCCAGAAGTGTAGGGTTTATTTACATAATATTTACTTAGTGAACATACATAATCACCCGCTTGCTAGTTTTTGCTACGTTTTTCGGATCTCGTCAGGATTATGTGAAATTGCAACGTTTTGGCTGCTACCTATCGCCTAGCATTTAGCTGCCGCCCCGATTCAACATTGAATTCTTTGTGATTTAACTCCATCTGACGGATCAAACCCTCGCCACTGCGTGCGTTGCGTCTGAGGTGGATTTTCAGATCAATGCATTACGTCGTGGCATACGGGAGAAACTAATTAAACTAGTTAAAAAAAGGATCATAGGTTAAGATCGGATGTGTTTTATTTGGAAATCTACCGGATCCTTTGTGCATTTCACTTCCTGTTTGGTGCGATCTCATTGATGGGTTTTAACCAGATTTTGACCAAAGAGGAACTAAAAAAAAAACAAAAAACAATTTAAATACACAACCAGCATATCTGGTATCAGTGACAGAGAGCGACTGGGACCAAAAGTTTATTAATTTCTCCCCACTGATTTCCATTCAAAATGTTTTCGATCCCACCGGTCTCTAGGGAAGGGGCGTGCATACCGCCACCTACTGTTCATGAGTGTGTAGCAACATTGTTTTACATCTATTAAATTCTATTTTTTTATTTTGTATTCTGAAGATAAATAAATAATGCTTTCCTTAATCTATAAATATCTTTTATATTTCCATTATTTCCCAATAATCCTATAAGACTCCATTCTTGGCCTGTCCTCTTTTCAATTTCTTCCTTTCAGGTTCATATGTTTTGCAGTTCATCAATACATGTTCTACATTTTCTATCTCTCCACATCCTTCACATTTATCATTATTTTTCCTCCCTATTAAGTATAAATTGTCATTTAAATAAGTATGACCTACTCTTAATCTGATCATTATTATTTCTTCCCTTTGGTTTCTCTCATTAATATTTCTATTTAATACTGACTTTTGTACTTTATATAACCTTCTTCCTTTTTATCTTCATTCCACCTTTTTTTTGCCATTTTTCAATTTCTTTCCTCTTAATAAATGATTTTCCTTCCCCTTTCCCTAAAGGAATTGTAATTGTTATTTGTCTACTTTTCATTCCAGCTAACTTTCCATTAATTAGCTTGAAAACAGCACTTTGTAGGCACCCAGTTTCTCTAACAATGGCCCTTTTTGGGTTACCCTCCATGCATTGGGTGTCAGTTCAGTGGCAGTTCCAGAACATTTTCTTAGGGTTGACCAGGCAGCACAATAATGTGCATGTGGCCAAAAAGTAATAGGGATCAAATTCGGTTCAGAGTCAAGCTATTGGGATCAGGCATCAGGTTCAATTTGCATATTTTCCTAGCCAAAACAAGGATTTGTTGGGCTACTGTAATTTTGAATTGAAAAACGTCCTGAATGGGAAGTCTTCAAACTTGAAAAACAAAGTCCAAAGTTTTTTTTTTTGTTTTTTTTTTTTTTGAATGATTATGACCTGGATGTCTAAGAATCTTCACCAGCCTATTAGGGAAATGAATGCCCACAATGTCTATATTCTCCAAAAGAGAATAACAGAACAGACCTTCATGAGGCCCTTGTTAAAGCTATGCATATATTTATGCATCTATGCTCTTCAAATAACTTTCTGGTTCGACGCAACATTTACATTAAATGGGTTGAGAGGTTGTTCTTTACCAGTAAATACATAAAAGATTCCCAGATGACTGCCGATGCAAACTCTCCCCTATAAAACCTAAAACTAATTCTTATAAGAGAGTAAAATCTGTATTAGTCTTCATTAAATGCAGCATATTGTTGTAAATAATCGATTGCTTTATTTTTGGTGTCAGCTTTTGGTCAATATGCTAACCTTAAAAGGTCAAAGTGGGAAAATGTACCCCCACTACGGGTAGTAGTAGACAAATTAGCAATTAGAGGAGGCAATAACAATTACAATTCCTTTAGGGAAAGGAAAATCATTTATTAAGAGGAAGGAAATTGAAAAATGGCAACAAAAAAAAGGTGGAATGAAGATAAAAAGGAAGAAGGTTATATAAAGTACAAAAGTCAGTATTAAATAGAAATATTAATGAGAGAATCCGAAGGGAAGAAATAATAATGATCAGATTAAGAGTAGGTCATACTTATTTAAATGACAATTTATACTTAATAGGGAGGAAAAATAATGATAAATGTGAAGGATGTGGAGAGATAGAAAATGTAGAACATGTATTGATGAACTGCAAAACATATGAACCTGAAAGGAAGAAATTGAAAAGAGGACAGGCCAAGAATGGAGTCTTAAAGGATTATTGGGAAATAAAGGAAATATAAAAGATATTTATAGATTAAGGAAAGCATTATTTATTTATCTTCAGAATACAAAATTAAAAAATAGAATTTAATAGATGTAAAACAATGTTGCTACACACTCATGAACAGTAGGTGGCGGTATGCACGCCCCTTCCCTAGAGCCCGGTGGGATCGAAAACATTTTGAATGGAAATCAGTGGGGAGAAATTAATAAACTTTTGGTCCCAGTCGCTCTCTGTCATTGATTCCAGATATGCTGGTTGTGTATTTAAATTGTTTTTTATTATTTTTTTAGTTCCTCTTTGGTCAAAATCTGGTCAAAACCCATCAATGAGATCGCACCAAACAGGAAGTGAAATGCACAAAGGATCCGGTAGATTTCCAAATAAAACACATCCGATCTTAACCCATGATCCTTTTTTTAACTAGTTTAATTAGTTTCTCCCGTATGCCACGACGTAATGCATTGATCTGAAAATC